TTTGTAATGCTAGGCAATGTTGCACATTTTTGCTGTCTAAAGTTTTGCTCCATCCATGTCCAAGCATCTTCAAACATCTCCCAACAGAATTATTCGATGATTTACTTAAATTTCATTTAGCCCCTCATGTTAATCCATCACATCCAATTTTACGTTCTCCAAAAAGAAATCAACAGATTCAATCAATTTATATTAATCATATTCACGCTGCTTGGATAATGAGTCAAATTGACGGTGTTGAATCATCTAAATTTTATAACGGAAATAATCCAAAATTACTTCCTTATGATCTTAAACTATTAATACGTGGCAGCCACGGTTGTATGTCAGATGATATGTTTCATAAATGTTGTGATAATCAAGGCCCTACTATTACTATAATTAAAGTTAGAGATGCGGATGAAATTTTGGGAGGATATAATCCTATTTCGTGGGATTCCAATACAAAATGGGCAGAGTCTTTTTCTAGTTTTATATTTTCTTTAAATAAGATAGATATGAATAAATCTATTGTCAGCAGAGTATTGAATCCTAGTAAAGCAATTAGAAATACACATGGCCCTTCATTTGGTGACGGTGATTTGTGGGTAAAGGTTACAGCTCACTTTACCAATAATGCTACCCTTCCTAGTTTTTGTAGGCAGAAAAGTTATGGTAAAAAAATTGCTGATTTTGAACAATTTTATGTGGAAGATTATGAAATATTTCAGATTATTAAAAAGACAACTGTCATTTATCTCTAATGATTTCTTTTTATTATTTCATAATTATATGGATCAAATTTGTCATAATAGTCGATGCAGTCACAATAGTCGAAGCAAATTCATTCTTATCTTTATTATAACAAATATATTTCTATATTTTATTTGCAAACTATATATCATATACTATTTTTACACATTATAATTCTTATAATCTTTAATGACTATTAAGGTGACCTAATTTTTCGGAATGGAATTTACTTGTGTATATGATACATTTGGACTTGTCTCTTCAAACTCTGCTTGAATTATAACCCTAAGATTTCTCTTAATTAATTTACTAACCTTTGATATAGTACAAGTTTAGAAGCTAAAATTATGCGCTTATAAAAGGGTTACGATATAAATATTTTAAATACAAGTATAAAATTTAATGATTATATAGATCCATCTATAAAAAAAATATATTATTATTATTGTTTTAAGCAAGTAGATAAGTTCTATTTAATTTGTTTGTGGTTTTTGTGGTCTACATTTTAGATTATTGTGTATTGCGCGAGATAATTGTACTGAAGAAACTTAATTTTACCGTTTAAATAAATTATTAACCAAACATGCATCTCTTTTTTCTCTATATTCTGGTAAATGATCATTTCCAATAAATCGATCTATTGGTAATTTAAAATTTTCTGATACTTTTAATTTTTTAGTATCATTGATTTTTTCTTTGGCCAGATCAATAGTTGTATCCTGTCTTGTACGTTTAAGAGAATTATTTGTTGCATCTTTAAGTAAATGCTCAACTATTTCTAATCTAAATTTTTTATGCTCATTAGATAGAGCTAAATTTTTAGATATAAGAAATGAATTAATTAATGTTGTATCTATTAGCCAAAAAAAAAGTGGCATCCATATTCTACGAACTATTAATTGAGTTGAATAATAGCTTCGTAATTGATAGGGATGTTAAATGAACTGTCCAAACTTATCCGACTCCAGAAGTCGGATAAGTTTCCGAGTTTTTAATCATGTGAAGTTGTACAAATATCAAAAGTCGGATAGATATTAAATTTCATGTGATATTATTTGGAATCGACTTTAAACAACTTGACTCTAACTGATTCGAAAACCGACTAAACCGGGCTGTTTAACATCCCTAGTAATTGATCAGCTAGAGTCATCGTGTATAATATCTGATGTAGAGTTTGGAACCGGTTTTATTTTCTTATATTAAACCCGGTTTTTAATCAGTTTTGCTATAAAACCGATTCCAACTCAAATTTTGATTAGTCAGTTGTCTCGTGATCTTTAAAGTGACCAACCAATCACAAGAAAGGTATCCTATATCGATATCTATAATTTTTCAAATTCGTGACATTTATTTTATTTTTTAAAAGTTGGGACATGTTTGAAGATGCTTGGACATGGATGGAGCAAAACTTTAGACAGCAAAAATGTGCAACATTGCCTAGCATTACAAA